GTCATTGTTGTTTGGCGGGTCCGGGCTGGGGATTCGAACCCGCCACCTTAGGTGTACGTGGCTGGCGCCTTAGCCAGTTGAGCTATAGGCGCCTTTCACTTTTCAAAGTGTGTGTTAGCTCATTTCATTCAAGAAACTTTACATGTTAAGAAGCATCTATTCAATTTTTAAGAAACTTCCATTACCTCTGGGGTATGGCGCTCACGAAATCCCTGGTAATCACATACCTCTGTCGATCTCTGCCAACATGTTAATTTTTAAGAAATGCCCTCAAAAAAAAACCACATACTCTGACAAAACATTGATGGGCTACCAGTTTGTTTCAATTGAGATATCTATGGTCAATATGCTAAAAGATTATGTTAGGAAAATTAAATATCAAACAATCTAGATGAAAGACGCTTAAATCATCAGTTATGGGCTTTTTTAAAAGAAAAAGCTGCAGAAATCATTTTTATTTCAGATTTTTCACTTTGGGAAACTTTTCTAACTAGAATTTTTTTTTTTACGTGTACCACAGTGGGGTGATAATCATAGAGACATTGACACAGCAAAATTTCTATTAATAGTACAATGAGACAGTGGGAGGCTTGGGAAGATGGTGGCCGAGTAACAACTTCTTTGCAATGGGGCATGGTGAGATTGGGGAGAGAAGACTCCAGGCACCTCTGGCTTATGGGCTTTGCCCAGAAAAACCCCTTTGGGGATGCAGGGAAGCAGAGAGAGACTTCTGGACCCCAGGAGGAGGACAAAAGTGAAGAAGTGGCAAGTGGTTGTGTTCAGTATGAGGCCGTGGCGGCTGCCATGGCTGTAGCTACAGCAACAGCAAAATTGCAGACAGGGAAGGCCTTCCCTGCAGACTGTTTTCTTGGTTGAGCTACCTTGGGAGACCTTGGGCAAATGTGCAAGTGACTTTTAGCAGTCTCCAGAGTCCAGGACTGAGCCGCTGGGCCAGAAAAGAGCTTTCATTGTTTGGTTTGGGGCTGAGCACAGCCATTGTAGGCTCCTGCAGGCTCTGCCCTCAGGGTCCCAGAGTGAGGCCTGTGCTGGTGGGAGACCTTAGGTGAGTGATCAAGTGACTTTGAACAGTGCCCAGAGGCCAGGACTGAGATACCAGGAAAGAAAGGGGATTTCACTGTTTGGCAGTA